GGAGGGGGAGGAGGAGGAAGAAGAAAGAAGTAGAAAAAAGAAACAAAACCCCAGTAAAGAAATCCTGGAGAAATTGGATCCCTTATTCACTGTTGGTGGAAATGTACATATGTGCTGCTCAACAAATGTTGAGAAGTATGACCCAGGATAGGAGATCAGAAAGAAAGTAAATGTCCAAGGGTTTTATGATACCTGTGGTATTCAATGTCTTGAATAGATGGTATAGCATATTTAACTGAATCTATAAACTATTATTGTATCAAGCACATGTAAAGCATTAGATGAAGAAAGATACTGTCTTATACATAAGACATCAAATTGGTATCTAATGGATATTGTGGATATCTAAAGGTAATTCCACAAAACACTGAAAATGAAATTATCAAATTAATTAACAGCTGTGCTTAGGATATATATATATATATATCACAAAGAACTGAAAGCAGAGTGTTTGTTTTATTTTGTTTTTATTTATTTGAGAAAGGATCTTGCTATGTAGTTAAGGCTGGATTTGAACTCACTCTGTAGCCCAGCCTTGCCTCAGATTCATGGTGATGCTCCTGCCTCAGCCTCCTGAGTGCACTATGCCTCGATTAGGGTCTTGAAGAGATACTTGTACACACATGTTCATAGCAGCATTTTTCACAATATCTAAAAAATGTCAATGAATAAACAGTGTGGAATATACATAATTCAGCCTTAAAAGGAAGGAAATTCTGACACATGGTTGAATTTGAAGAAATAATGCTGGGTGAAATAAGACAATCCCTAAACTAAAATATACAGTGTGTTTCCACTTATATTAAGCATCTAGAATAGTTACATTCATAGAAACAGAGGGAAAAATGTTTGTTGCCAAGGGATAGGGGGATGGGCGAGAGTTGTTATTCCACTGACCTAAGTTTTACAAGATAAAAAAAAGTTCTGGAGATTAGTTGTACAATAATGTGAATGTATTCAACACTACTGAACTGCACATATAAAAGTGGTTACAGTGGCAAATTTTATATAATATGTTTATCACAATGAAAGAATAGCCTGATTCTGAAGTATATTTTTTTCCCACAGGTTTTAGAAAAGGAACTGTGGTCCTTTACTGATGAAGGGAAATGAGGACCAGAAGCGGGTGGTGAATGGTTAGAAGGGGCAAATGGATTTGAGCTTCTGGGGAGATGGAAGCATTTATGGAACAACCTGGAAAAATAACAGCAGTCATCAGAACTGTGAATACTTGAAATTTTGATTTGGAAAAAACACAGTCTGGATTGTGCCAATAGAGAGGAGAGAAAGATGGCATTCTTGCTACGGATGACAAGAAGTTCTAAGTAACAGAACTGTGAGACTGGATGCATAAATTTTGAAATATTTGAGAATGAAGCAGAGCCTGGAGTGGTAGTTCAGGCCTGTAATTTCATCTGAGGCAGGCAAATCTGAGTCCAGTAGGGACACCTTAGGAACTTAGCAAGACCCTGTCTCAAAATAAAAAATAAAAAGGGCTGGAGATGTAGCACAGTGCTAAGGCTCTGGGTTTAATTCCCAGCACTTTAAAAAAAAAAATGAAGGAAGAGCAGAAAAGGAAAATAAGACCATTCCTAGCTACCTTTTCTGTCATCATTTTTTTACTGCTTTCTAATAAGAGTGCAGTGATAAGAAGGGAGGATATATGCAGTACCTAGACCACCATTAATGGTTGTGGAAGAAAAAGCTTGAGAGGGCTGCAGGGGAAGAAATTTTCAGAATACAACCAGATTTTAGTTAAAGTGAAGACAAAGGTAACATTTGGAGAGGTATGACCCCAGGATAGGGAATCAGAAAGAGAGTAAATGTCCATGGGTTTTATAACCAGGTCCTGAATAGATAGGTTCATTCTATCAAATACATGTAAAACATTGGACTAAAAATGATACTCTTATACATAAGAAGTTCACAGTCAAGCTTAAGTAATGTCAAATAGAAGTTTCCCAAAGCTTAAAACAACATTTAAAACCTTTTGAAAATTGTAAATTCCTGAGACTGTATAGTATACAATAGGCATGGAATTAATGAAAATACTGAAGATTTGTAATACTAAGATCTTTTAATCTTTTAACTTTAATGGGCCTGACTATTCTAAATTGTGAAATGGTGGTAATAACCGCAACAGGGGAAAAGCAGTTCTAGTTAGGTGGGTTTTTAAAAAATTATAATGTAAATGGTAATTGTTATGAAAGATAACCAGAATTCTAGAATTGCCAGGTCTGCAATGAGCATAAAGATTGCCAGGTAGTCAGGAGACACTGGCAAGTTCAGTAAACTCAGAGTTCTTTGTTCTGCTTATGGGATAGCTTGGATGTACAGGAACTTTGCATTAGAGCCATTTATTGTCTTTGGTCTTTTCACTTTTGCAGTCTACACTCCTATGAAGTTGGTGCCAAAAAAGTTTTAAAAAGCAGATACTGCCAGGAATGGGGTGAGATACTCAGTTTGGCCATCTTGGCACATTTCTCCCTTATCTTTGATAGTATTTCTGCTACCTTCCCATGTTTTGAGATCTTAAATTTTGGTTTTCTTTTGGGTTTAGGGTATACATGAAGAGGGCAACTTCCTTCCCCATATCTACTCTCTAGGCCTCATTGGCTGTGAGAGGGCATATGCATGGGCTTGAGCAACACCCTTGCTCTCAAGAGTACTGGGATTCGAAAGGAGGACTTCAAGTGTTATCAGGCAATCACAATACCAAGAACCACAAGAGAAAGCAGGATAACTATGATGAAATTGAAACTGATGCTTCTTCAATCCCTTCATGCCCCAGAGCAAACTGAGATTTAGGTGAAGCTCTCTTCTACTTTTGCTGATAGTAATCCCACTGTTAAGTATGGAATATAGTTCTTATAGTGATGAAAGAAGAGCTAAATCTGACAGTGTTTAGTAAATGTTGACATGTATAAAGAAGTTTTTAATTTATATGAACATTTCCTTCACATTTTATTCCTTCAATTAGATTAAGATTTATTCATTACTTCAATAAACACTTATTGAGTGCTGATATATCCCTGCCCTTATGAAAATGATATTCTAGTGGAAAAGTGTCAGCAAACACAATAAAATACTATAAGGGATATAGTGATAATTCTGAGAGGAAAAACACAGCAGGGAAGGGACAGAGAAGAAAATGTTGTTTTGGGTTTGCAACTTTGAAAGGAATAATTGAAAAATCAGAGTGTCCAGGGAAGGGCCCTCTGGAAAGATGTATGAACAAAGAGTTGGGAAAGCCATGCGGATACCCAGGTACATGAGCATTGCAAACAGGGAAAACAAAACTGAGGGTGTATGTTCAAGGTTTCTGATGAACAGCACAGAGCCCAGTGTGTCCACAGATTATTTTAGGTTAAACAGGAGGCCAGGCCACTGAACCCAATTATCCAGCCATTGTAATGACTGGTTTTACTTTGAGCAAGGTGGGAATCCACTAAAGGGTTCACATACAGGAGTAATTTAAATTATATTTACCGGGTTGAGAATAGACTGAGAATTTGAATCCCCTACTTCCAAGATGTCAGAAGACATCATGAAGTTTTAATAAAGTTTAATAAGCATCTGTAATTCTATAAGCCAAGCTGGTCTCTGTAGTTTTTATCTTAATATTTAGGACCTCAGGCAAGCCAGGAGAAGGCTCAGGCCTGAGAACTGTCTTTTACATTTACAGTAGAATTAGAAAATTGTTTTGAAAATGAATGTAAAGGAATAATATGGACAATATTTAGAAAAGAATAGAAACAATAGCTAATTACATGTTAAGGAATTCTGAACTTGCTGAATAAATACTACTTATAATAGTGTTTATGACCTAAATTTCTATAAAAAACCATAATGACTTAGCATAATATTTACCTGTGTGGTGACATTTGTTTCTTTTTGTCTTTTAGTATGTTTTTCTGCTTCAACACCTGCAATATACAAAACATTTTTATAAAATTTGAAAATATTTTCTTATTAAATTTTCACTAAACATAGTTTATTGTTAAAAATTTTAGCAAAAAACTTTCAGACTCATAATAGTTGAAAATAATTTATAATTTAATTATTAATTATTACAAGTCATTCAGTGATAATTTGTAAAGGTGTAACAACACCACCGAAATCTAAGTACTTTAATCAAGCATTCTGAAATTGAGTTCACTCAGAGTTCTGCAAATAATAGCATTAATCACAATAGTAGAAAAATTTCTGACCTGTAATTTAACTAAAACATATCTGTGTAAATAATGCTATCTCTTAGTAGGGAATATTAACACATAAAAGAGAGAATATGATCTTTAGTCTTATAGACTCATCCATATGTCAGAGAAATTCTAAAAATATAATTGAATCACAAAGTAATTTAAACTATATATACTAGCATAATCATCATGCTTTTAAATTTGAGAAAATTTTCAATAAATCATTTAATGAATTATTTAATAAAGAATATATCTCATATAAAATCCATAGTAGTCATAGTACATTTAATTTTTGAACAGTGCTTAAAATGCCTTAACTTTTCTATTTCAGAAAGAAATCTTTGAAAACCTGATAATACACCATGGTAAATCAGCTGTCCTACAGTATTAGGATTTGCGATTTTTCAATTACTCTATGGTGATGCATTATAAAAATGGTCCTTTAGGTTTTGTGAAGTAAAATATGTATCTATAGGTATTTTATGTATGTATCATATTTTTGAGATTAATAATTTGACTCAATAAATATAGGGTAGTCAAAATTTTGTATTTCCAAAAAGCCATGAAATTTTACTTTAAGATTAGGTAATGAATTTTTTAATTGATCTCTAACATTATATGTATTAATTTGATGTTTTATTCTTTCTTTAGCTGATGAACTTTATTTTTAATTTCCCCCAATGGAAACCATTCAAAAATTAAGATTTTTACTTATTCATTTCTTAATTGACCTATCATAATTGTATATCATTATTTATGAGTTGAGATGTATTTTGATTATGGCCTCACAATTCTATGCTTTGTTTACTTTCCAGATCTTATAAAACTTGGCCCCAGGTAGCTTGATGTTTAGTCCTCTGTCAAATAAGACAAATGGATTGCAAATTCTAAATTAAAACTCAATAATTACATGGTTACAAATGCATTAATAAAGCATAAAAATTATTTTGAAAATCATACATAATTGAAATGATTATATATGTTAGGATTGCGCTTCAGGTTCAGATTGTGAAATAAATTATACTAGAATAAAAATATTATTACAAATGGAATTTGGTCTCAAGTTTGTCATGAAATAATTTTGGGACCAAAATTACTTATTATTAAAGTCAAGGTAGCACTATGATTCATCATATAGTCAATGACTTAAGTTCTAGTACTGATTTTGTACCTGTTTCATTAATTTGTTATAATAGTGAAATGAGATACTCTATGTATTTAGCATAATACTTACTACACATTATTTTAAATATATATTAGCTACATAGTGATAATACTATCTACTTCATTACAGGATTTAAGATGCCTTCAAGATAAATTACATGTAAATAAGTAATATAAAGGGACTATAGCAAATGAAGCCTTATTAGAGACCATCTACATTATTAGAATTTATTAATGATTTGCCTATAACATAACTTCTCTCTCAATTAGAGTTACAGCTTTATCTTCAAAACATATTACTTAGTGTATATTTGTGTATTACAAATCGTAAACTGTGACTGATACTATAATCACAGTAAATATCTAGTGATTTTTAAACTCCATTGTCACAACTAGAAGGAATAAACTGGAAAAACAATATAATTTGGTACATTCCCATTATTGCTTCCCCAAGGCGTGCAGAGTAAATTTAGAGCTAGTATGTACAGAATGTACAGACACAGGAAAACAAAGTGTCATGTGTATTTAAGCGAGAGGAGAAAATTATGGATATTACACGGAATAGAGTTATACACTAAACCAGAAAATCAAACTGTCAGTGGTCAGAGAGTAACATGAAAATTACAGGGCTGAAAGCCATTTTCAAAGGTAGAATAGATGTGGATAAAAGAATTAATGGGGATGAGGTGTAAGAATATAACTAAAAGCATTAACTATTCACTACCTTTAAACATAAAAAGAAGACAAAGGCAATTGAACAATGTTTCTTTCAGAAAATAAACAACAGTTTTCTAAATTAAGTGCAGCATAAATTAACACTTTATTTATGCCTGCATTCATATGATTCCTTCCTAGCGATTTTATCATAATTGTTCTAATTTTAATCTAACTTACATTTACTGTCAGAATTATTTTCCCTAGGTATTGTTTCCACCAAGACACGCATCTGCTTAAAAGCCCCTAAGTTCTTGTTATTTACTGCATGAAAACTAAATTCCTCTATTGACTTTCATTTCCTCCTTAATCAAGTTTAACTCCACATTCACAGCTACTTTCCAAATCCAAATAATTTCTACTTCATTAGTTACTGTTCACTCCTTTGTTTAATCTCAACAATTCCTAATGAATGGACTAAAATTATTGAAATTTCCAATAAAAAACAAATTTGAGCATGCATCCTTTCTTAGTTTGATTTATGAGATACTTAGCTTTGGACATCACCAAGAATGATGTTTAGAAAACATCGTGTATCTCGACTGTGAACTCGAGCTTCGGTTTTTCATCCACTGGGAACAGCAATACTGCACTTACCCTTAGCGTTCATGCGAAGACAGGATAGAACTATAGAGTACAACGTTTTGTGGGGATGAGATTGAATGCAAGGCAAAGAGGGAATAAGTCAGCTTTCTTTCTCCTTTCGTAAAGACCCACCTTTTAAAAGCAAGGGGCATTAGCATCTGTGGAGAAAGCACTTCCCTTATTGAAATAAAAGAAAAAAAACTATACTTTGCAAACATTGGATGAAGCAACTCTTGTTGCTTTAGCTTTTACCCACTGGGATCTTTCTCTTTAGATTTCACTCACTGGGATCGTTGCTACTTCCAATCTTTCCCTGCAAACCCCTTCCCTTGGTTACTCTTACCACATCCAACTTTGGTAGCACTTTCAAAATGAATGTAATAATCTCAAAGAACAACAAAAATATGTATACACATAGTCCAGGATACACAGACAGATTTCGGGTTATAATATCTCAACTGGCTTCTCCCTGGTCCAGGCTCATTTCTTTCTCTGGCAGTATTTTACAAGAACCCTTTCCCCACCCTACGGGAAGTGTCATCTTATTTTCCACCACAAGGGGGCGATCCTGTTTAACACCTTTTTCTCTTTGTTATCGAGGGCAAGAACACAAAATTCTTTTTTTTTTTAAATGTTTTTTATTGGTACATTTTAGATATACAATACAGTTACATTCATCATTGGGAGCTTGTACCTTTACATAACGTATCGTGATTCTTATTTTTCCCCATTCTTCTAGCCTCCCTTCCCCCTCCACCCTTCCCTATTTATAAAGATGTTGTTTCCATTTTTTTCTCTTATTTTGCCTTTTCCTTTTACCTTTCTCCTACCCCTCCCACTTGCCCAACACCTTTAGACCATTTCTTCCTATTACAAAATGTCAATTGTACATTTAGACCCTTATTTACACTTTTAATTTATCACACCATAGAAACTATGTGGTATTTACACGTGTCAGACTAATTTCACTTGAGTATGTCCTCAATGTGCATCCACTTAGCTATAAAGGTCTCTAGTTTCTCATTCTTTATGACTAAGTTATACACACACATATATATATATATATATGTGTGTGTGTGTATATGTGTGTGTGTGCATATAATAGCTATTACAAACTGTGTCTCTATAAACACAAGTGAGCATATATCACTGTGGAATGATTCTTTTAATTCTTCTGGGAAGATACCCATCAGGGGAATAACTCGGTCAAATGGGACTTCCAATCCTAGTTGTTTAAGGTATCTCCATATTGATTTCCACAGTGGTTGCACCAGTTTGCAATCCTACCAGCAATGAAGAAGGAAGGGATCCTATGTCCCCAGACCCCCGCCAGCATCTGTTATTGGTTGATTTCTTGATAGCAGCCATTCTTTCTGGGGTGAGGTGGAATCTCAGTGTTGTTTTCATTTGCATCTCTCAAATGACCAGTGATGTTGAACGTTTTTTCATATATTTATTTTTTGCTTTTACTTCTTTGTCTGAGAAATGTCTGTTCATTTCAGTGCCCATTTTTGATTTGGAACTTTATATTTGGGGGCCTGATTTTTTTGAGTTCTTTATATATTCTAGATAGTAGACCTTTGAGGAACAGCTGGTAAATTGTTTTCCCACACTGTAGGTTGTCTCTTAGCTCTGTTGTATTGTTTCCCTTGCAGTGCAGAAGCTTTTTAAAAAGATGAGATCCCAGTTGATTCTTTGTCCTAGTCCTGTGCTACTGAGTATTTGTTCATAAAGTCTTTTCCTATGCCAATGTCTTTAAAAGTTCTACTTATCTCATCTTCCAACCAGTTTAGTGTTTCTGTTTTAATATTTAGATCCTTAATTCACTTGGATTTTAGTTTAGTGCATAATGAAAGATAGGGGTCTAGTTTTAATCTTTGGCAAGTTGAAATCCAATTTTTCCAACACCATTAAAGAGGGTATCTTTCCTCCAGTGAGAATGGTTGGCTACTTTGTCAAAGATGAGGTAGTTGAGTATGTCTGGAGTTGTTTCTGCATCTTCTAATCTATTCCACTGATCCTTGGGTCTGTTTCTTTGCCATTACCATGCTGTGTTTAACACAGTGGCTTTGTAGTATAGTTTCAAGTAGGGAATTGTTATACCCCCTGCTATGTCTCTGTTGCCTAGAATGGCTTTTGCTGTTCTAAGGTCTCTTCTGGTTCCAAATGAATGTTTTTATTATTTTCTTTAGTTCTGTGAAATACACTATTGGGATTTCAATGGGGATTGCATTGAATGTGCATAGTAGTTTTAGTAGTATGGT